TTTGGCCCTCATACAGAATGTGATAAAAATAATATTCTTCTGTCTCAGAAATATTATCAGTCATGGAGATATTGGTTAGTGGGGCCAGCAGGGGGCGCTGACTCTCTGTGGTCTTTGTGGGTCCTAATGCACCAGGATAGTGACAGGGACACTGTACTGTAAAAAGGCACCGTCCTTCAGATGAGGACCAAGTCCTGATTCTCTGTGGTCATTAAAAATCCCAGGGCGTTTCCCAGTATAGGGGTGTCACCCCGGCATTCTGGCCAAATTTCCCATTGGCCCCTACCAATCAACTAGAAAAGACCTATATAAGTGCAAGGAATTATTATTATTATGTCCATTGTTGTCTTTGCTGCAGAAAAGCTAGTCAGCACATTTGTATTTTCCAGAATTGATTACTACGATAGCCTACTTACTGGGGTATCTAAATCCACACCGAACAAACGTTAATATGTTCAGAATTCAGAATCCTGACCAGGTGGCATGCAAGTGATCACATTACTCCTGTCCTGGAGTCCCTGCACTGGCTTCCTATCAGGTTTGGAGTGGACTTTCCAGGTTTGGAAGTCCTCATGCTCACCAACTGGGCTCTACATGGCTTGGCACCTCAGTACCTGTCTGACTTATTATCTGCCTTCTCCCCACCTCGCAAAACTTCGTTCATCTGACTCTGGTCTTCAATGTGTCCCTCACGCTCCTTTACATTCTGTGGGTAACAGGATCTTCCCTTGCCGCGCCCCAAAGCTCTGGAATTCTGTCCCCAAGGATATCAGAGAGACACCTACTCTGAGTGCATTTAATTGCAGACTCCAAACCTGCCTTATCAGAAAGGCTTTTATTTAAGTACTGTGTCAGAGAGGTCTGGGACTACATATTTTACTGAATGTAAGGTGGTTACATAGACTCCGCACTGCACATCAAAAATGAAATCAGGTTCCCAGACCATGACAGAACATATAATTGTGTGCTACTTTAGGTGGTTCGTACTGGTTATTTATCTAAAATAGTCATCTAGCCATGCTTACTGATTGGGAAAGGTTCATGACATGGAGGAATTAAAGCCATTAAGCCTGCAAAAAAGATTCTGCAACAATCTTGGCTTTTTTGTTAGTTGTATCCCTTCATTGAAACTTGCATTTGGATCTCTCTAAAACACTAAGTGCACGAGGGAATCGTACATTTTTTTCAAACGTGTTTAATGGGACATGATGTCCAAGATGGGTGGTCTCACACATCTTGACAGACAAACTCCCATGTTTTGGATATGTCTTTGTAATACCAGTCGTTTTCGCTGAGCCTGAACTTGCTGTTTACAGCACTCTGACATAAAGTACATTTAAATGCCCAGCAATAGTGCTAATTTATAGCCTGCGTTATCCACTCAGTGCAATAAGAAGGATCGTAATGCTCTTAGCACCCGATAGCACCAGGGAAAAACAAGCTATAAACCCAGTGAACAAAAAGGCTGCTGGCTGAACCAGTTGATTCAGAGCCGCGTTTCTAAGTGATTCATCACCGTGGTCTCCAATTCCACGCCTGGGGGATCCGGCATGTGTCCAGGTATTCTAGTAACTGGGAGAGGATGTAAAACTGGCCCAGTCCAGCCAGTAATGAGCTAACTCAGGCTGTCAAGAGCCGAGATGGAACAAAAAGCACTGCAGGACTAGGACTGAGGGCCGTGTTTTAAACCATCTTCGACTTCTTTCTTTTGGTTCGGGAATCCCTGGTTCTGATTGAGGGCTTGTCACAGCCTGAACCAGCTTGTTCTGGGCTGAATGGGACCAGTTCCACAGCGTCTCTCGGTTTTTTCAGGTGCTGCAGGTCTTACTAGGAAAACCTCTATTGTTATATATGAGCGGGATTTATTTTAATACCAGGTATGATCCAGACATTTTCTTGTGTTTGTGAATTTAAATTAATGTTAAAAACAGGGTCCTAATGAAAATGTATAAGAAGTTATCTTTTAACAGAACCTAAGATACTTGACTCAAAGACAATCCCATATACAGATTGGCAATATTTGTGTTTTTATTTTCTACTGTATTCTACTGTATTTGGCTTTTCAAGGAATTTTTTTAATATTTGTCTTTGATGTACATATAATGTGAATTTACACAAATATGTTTTCATTTGCTTTTTGAACAAAGTTATTTTTTGCATATAGACATGAAGATTAATAGCTGTTATATATGAAGCAAAATCTACTTTTAGACCAACAATATGTAAATTGAAGATAATACGGGTACATGGTTGGTACATTTTATACCACAAGAAGGATGTCTGATAAATATCAGTGCAAAGTAGTGCAGGATTTATTGATCTCTTTATTGATGCTCCTCAATCACCCAGTTGATAACACCGAAATTGCTCTGTGAGCTGTCGGCGAGGGGGGTATAATTCATTGTACTCTGTTTGAGATGGTACAGTATATCTGAAAGTATGCATCACAAAATTATGAATAAAGTGGATTTAAAGGGTTACCGCTGTGCTGTCTGAGCAAAATACCCTTTTCCAGCCGTGTGAAATGCATTCTGTTACCTGCAGCGTGTGACAAGCAACGATGACAAAAAATCAGCGACTGGGCAAGCTCGAGAGTGTGAATTGATTTATTTC